GGAAGGAAGGAAGGAAGGAAGGAAGGAAGGAAGGAAGGAAGGAAGGAAGGAAAGAAAGAAAGAAGGAAGGAAGTTCTTGTAATATAGTGTTGGAAGTTAAAAGGCCTCTGATCTACCAACACACAAACACTCTTTTAGCACCTCACTGGCTCCATTGGGGGGGCAGGGATCCCCTCAGGATAAAGGAAGATGCTCACAATAAATCCACACCTAGGGAGGGATCTATATATCTGAGGACAATCTTTCATTCCATATTTCATAAACACCTCAGGATCAAAGCCGAAGACAGGAACACCTCAATCTGCACAGGAAGGCCAATTACCTTTGGACCATGACTTTAGAACGAGCACATACACAAACCATGCCCCGCACCAAGTCCACACCAAGGACCAGTCCTGCTTATGAAACCAAGTCTCTCATTTTTGTGCAGCCAACCCCCCAAAACCAACCTCTTTTGCTTTTGGGAATAAATGAATCACCTTCTCTCACAGTATGTCTGGATTTCATTTTTGATTTGTTCTTGAGAGCTGGGATTTGTTCTTGCGCAACCCCAGCTCACAGAACCCCCCCCCCCCCCCCCAATTATTCTTCTAACAATAGTATTTACCTTTCTTTAAAATTACACCTTTCTGGTGTATTTGGGCTTCTTTTGTAAGTCCAGTGTTTCTGAATTATGTACTGTGATTAATAAATTATTAACACTGGCTTTCCAACTAAAGAATTCAGTGATCCGTTACAAATGCTACACTAAATAATGATTTAGCATTACATCCATGAACGGTGGCTATGCACACTTTCTTTGCCCCTTTCTCTGGCATAGCTTTGAGGAAGAAATTGGAAGTTACGCTTCTGCTTTTAATTAACTGGGAGGTTTTTTTCATCTTGTCCAAACTCATAGGGATTGTTCATTTTAAAGTAAAATTAGAGCAGCCTTCCCTAATCTTGTGGCCTGGCCTATACTATCTTACATTCCAAGTCAGCCTGATCATTATCCAATTTGGCCAACATTCAGAAAAAATAATAAGCTCCTGTTAAAAGGGGAAGACAATGTTTCCAAACTGTTTCCTGCCCAAAATTTATCTACATAACAATAGCATAAAGTTACATATGAAAGAGGCTATTTTTGTATGAGGACAATAACTGAATGTAGGGATGAGAGACTCTTTTCTCTATACAGTTAGGATCACAATACACATGAGCATGAATATATACTTTTTTTAAAAAAATTAAAAGCTCATACATAACTTGGGGGATATTATTTTAAAACAGAATAGCAGTATAAGATATGAGGTGAAAATGCTTTTATGAAATGATCAGTGATTTCTTCACCTCCAATTTCTATTTCCACTGTGCATGATGATGGATAAATTTAATGTATTGCTTTTATTTAACTTGCATTTCATGTTGCAGATCAAGAAAACTATTTATGCTCACAGCATGTATATATGTTTACATATTTCATTCTAGCGTATGAAAGAATATGCTAGAAAAGTCCAGGCTTTAAGTAAAGAAAATTGGATATTACCTACAGTCTCAGAAACAGATCCATTGGATGGGATAAACTTAATCTATAACTGGAATTATGGATTGGGAGGGAACTGCTTATTGTGAAGTTCTACCAAGCAGGAACAATTCAACTCTTCCACTATTGCAGATCACCAGGATTCACCCTCTTATTTCTTAAGAAGCTGCAGGGAAGGTTGGGTTCACATAATCCACTTGGCTAAACTGTGGCTTCTTTGCTGTAATCACACAAGACCCTTATCCATGCATAAGATACCCATTGTTTTCTCAATTAACCCAGTTTTCTGAGTTTGGGTGACCCAATGAACCATAAGTTAAGTAAGCACAACATTCCAGAATAAAATGTAGTTGGTGAGATATCCGTTTAGTTTGTGGTGGAATATATTATGCAAATTCAACCAGTATAATTAATCTAAGGTTCACTGGGTCATGCAATCCTAGGCAATTGAATTAATTTAGTAAATTTATGGTTCAATTACTCATGAACCCAAACCCTGTATTTCACAACTAAAATTTCCAGTCAGATTATTTACAAGTAATTCCTGCACTGTTTATACATTGCAGCTCCAAAACACAAGGTACTTGAAGATGAAAATGAACTTCAATGTATTTTTCCTCTCTGTTAAGTAAATAAATGGCCACTATACCCCTAGATGCAACATGATAGATAGGTAGATGCTGCTTCTAAGGATGGGCCCTTTATGGTCCACCAACTGCATGTGTCTTTCAGGTTCTTTTGCAGCTCCAGAGCCATTTTAATGCCAAATTTCCACAGGATGGTTTTCTGTTGATAAGTGGTGGGGAATTAGTATTTAAAATGTAAAAAAAAAAGAAAAAGCTTGTTTAAATATTATTTAATGCTTTTTAAAAATATATAGAACTATTTGTATGGTGGTGGTGGTGGTGGAGGGGGAGGGGGAGGGGGAGGGGGAGGAGGGAGGGGGAGGATAGCTGAATGCAGGGCTCCTCTCCCCCCAATATTTTTATTCACTAGGCACAGTTTGAGAGCATGTGTATGTTATGAGTTTCATCATGGTACCATGGATGGTAGAGAGCACAAAGTGACATATGCAGTTATGTAACAAATCAGTCTAACTGGGCATAGAATCCCAAAATTTCTCCAAAGGAGTCCATAGTCCTATTGATGTCCATGAACATTATTTTAAGGATCCTGCTTTCAGAAATTCCTTCTCCTTCTCCTATTTTCTTCATACCTCCACATTCAGCAGTCCTGCTTTCTGTGGCACTGAAGAAAGAAATAATATATAATATGCCTGTCCAGAACATAGACATTCCCCAGGCCTCCTCATTGACACCGTTCATATAATAAATCAGCCAATCTTAATTTGCCTAGAGATGCAGAGGAAATGCTATCCATTCTTGTCGTTGACCCTTTGATACCTTCAAAATCTCAAAGGACTTCAGCAGGGGCATTTACAAGAGGGGAGGGGTGGGTAAACACATTCTTTTACAAAGCTTCAAAGGGGTAGTTCAGTCAAAGCATGGTTGAAGTGAAGCAGCCTTTCACTGATGCCTTAATTGAGAGTGCTGAATTAAAGAGCAGCTGTTTACCTAAAAAATACATTGTCAGTGAAAGGATCCAGCTTTTAAAACAGTAATTTTCAGAAGACATATGGGGAGGTAAAGAACAGTCTGCTCTGTAGCATTTCTTCCAGTGGTTGTATTCTGAGGAAAAAAGCAGAACAAGAAAGTGACTTTGCCCAAGCCAACTTCAAAATAAGAGAGTAATTTCCTTTTTTATTTCCTTTACCTTAAGATTCTCTAACCTGGCAGAAAATCACAACCAGTGGTCTTGCTCCTCAAACTCTTGAACACAGTTCAGCTGTAATAGGCGAAAACATCTTTGTGTATGGTGGCATGGAAAATGGTAAAGCAGTGGATGATCTCTATACATTCAATACAGGTAGGTGCAACTAAATCCTCACATGACAAAGTAGTTTGTTCTATGTCAGTTACTCCAGAATGCAGCATATGTTCATAAAACAAGTGCAGATAGAAATGCCAGTTTGGCCTAGTGGTTAAGGCACCAGGCTAGCAAGCAGGAGACCATGAGTTCGAGTCTCATCGTGGCCATGAAAGCCAGATGGGTGATTTTGGGCCAGTCACTCTGTCTCTCAGCCCAACTCACCTTACTAGGGTGCTGTTGTGGGAAAATAGGGGGAGGAAGGGTTTGGATATGTTTGCCATATTTGTAAAATTAATAAAAACAGATATAAATAATGTAAAAATACAAATAAATAAATATAATTAATATATAACCACTTGATTTCTTATTTCTGTCAACCTGTAGTACAGGTTAGTGTAGATCCCATTATTACTTGCTACTGTTTATAACTTGGCCCAAGAGTTTATCTTATAGCAAATGTGTTGCTCCATTTAATTAAATCCTACTTTATGCAGCCTAAAAATGAGTCTAGTTATATATTCCTATATATGCTATCAGCCAATCGTGTTAAATGTGCTCTACAACTATTTATAGGAAGCTATCAGGGAAATTTCTATGAGAAGTAGCTTTGTATGATTTTTACTCCCTATATCACATTTTCAAACACTTATAAATGTTTTACTATATTCCAGCACCCCTGTTCATTATTGCTCATAGCATCTTAGAACTATTCTTGTCATTCTAATATTTCATGTTGGCATTTAGTGTCTCACTGTTGGACTCCAGTGAAAACCTTTGCTTCAAACCCTGGTGCCAGGTAAGTAACTATTTTATTCTTCTTTCAGCCTTTTTTGTGTTAAACAAGGTAACTTAGTCTGGTGTTCTTTTATTATAGTTGTCAAATAAACTGTAAATGAAAATTTAAATCTATAAAGCAGAGGTGGACAATATTGTGTGATGTGAATCACACCTAATGTTTGGAGATTGCCTGATTCAAAAAAAGGCAGCAGCACAGGCGTATATCCATGGGCAGCAATGTAAACATTTTTCTTCTTTTCCCTAGGTTTTCAGTGTAGAGTTGTGGTTTTTACTTGTCCTTAAAACTCTATTAAATCTGTTTATGAAAATTTTAAGCTTTTGTGTAAACCTTACAGTTTTGGCAACCATACAATTTTTTAAAAGGTGTAGAAGCCACAAATTTGCCACATCTGTTTGAAAACCTCAGTCATGGATCAAATCACATACCATGCAACAATATTTATTTATCCACTAAATTAACAAAAAAAAAAAAGGAATAAATTTTGGGTATCTTAGAGCATATGCACCCTGTACCATTATTCCAGGGCCAGAATGGATCAGCAACAAATTTCTGAAGGGCAAGAACTACTGACCTCACTTTGTAGTCACTCCCTTCACGCTACATTTGATCCTCCATGTATTATTTTCTGGTGTCCTTTTAAAGTACTCTTTTTCCACTTAGATCATGTTGAACATTCATACCCTTCTGGGCTTTATTCAGGGGTGGGATTCTACCTGGTCAGACAGGTTCTATAGAACCGGATGTTGCGATTCTGCGCAGTTCAGAGAACTGGAAAATTGTGCCCCTGGCTGGCCCCTTCCCTCCCTGCACACTCCTTACCTGGCACACGTGCCATTCAACTTGCCTGCCTTTAGTTGCTATTTTTCAGTGCAGACTCAGGTAGCAGATTGCAGAAAGATAGATCTCTCAGTGAATCAATGATTCTGTGAGCAACTCAATCTGCCTGCCTGCTTTGCCTGATTTTGGGTAAAAGTTGCTCTTTTTAATTAAAAAAAATCAATATTTACATACATGGTGTGTTGTGAGTTAATTTTGGGAGTTTGCTTGCAAGCAAATTTTATGTGACAGACTCAGCTAGCTAATGGCAGAAAGACAGATCTCTGAATGAATCAATATTCAATATTTAATTGAATTTAACAAATTCAATATTTATATAAATACTTATTATGTTTTCTTAAGTTTTCGCGGGTACTTACAGGTATGGTATTCAGCTTTGTTCAGGTATTTTCCCACGTCATTATAGTTGTGCTTTTAAAGTTGTAGCAACGTTTCGGCAGAATCTCATCTGCCATCATCAGGCTTCTGTACTGTGTTCGTCTGTGAGTCAGACTTTCACAGCCATTTCAGTTTTAAATTTGGGGCTAGCCTACTGCTGTGCCAGAATGGTTTTTTCTTCATCCTGATTTATATTATAATATAAATATATATTATAATATATATTATAATACTTATAATATTTACATACAAGCCATGCCCAGCCAGTCACATGACCACCAAGCCACACCCACAAATTAGGCCACACCCACAGAACTAGTTGTTAAGAAATTTGAATCCCACCCCTGGCTTTATTGTATTATAGGTTAACTTCAGCAACTTATTGGTTATTACACAGCAAGAAGAGGATCCCCTCAACTGAATCAATGGTTACCATTGTCTTGAATGAAACCTTCTAGTCATGTGTTTTCCAATAATATTACAGCAGCACAACTGTTATAACACTGTTCTTGTAAATAGAAGATTGCTGGCTTAAAACCTAGCAGAAACATGTTTGTTTTTTTAACTTAAGTTTCCTTAAGCTATCAAGTTTCCTCCAGCCTTTAAAAAGACAAAATGTCCAGTGGTGCACCATTTCATTACTTCTCAGGTCACTTGAATCTCAAGTCACTTGAGATATAAAGATTTTATCTCCTACATGCTTTACCCCTCTGTAAACTAGTAATTTAATCCTCTTTCATTCCAGCCCACATCTGAATCTAACAGCCAAAACTCAGCAGGATTTCCCCCCCCCCAATAAAAGCTTATCTTGTTAGAGGTGACAAATTTCACAGTTGGCAATCAGTTGCTTGATTGAATCCTTGAAGTTAGTTCTCAGATGTGTCACTTAGCGTAGATAGCTCTCCAAGTCTGAGAGCTAATTTAAACAAAAAGGGAAGTGCCCATTTTCTAGCTCCCTATATCATTAGGTTAATTAATAATAGTTTGCATGTTGTGTTGGTAAGGATGTTGTTTGGTTTCAACAAAATTAAATTGAGCAAGAAAGTAGTTTGATCATTTGGATTCCATTGTATTTGTCAAGCAAAGAGGATTCAGTAACAGTAACCAATTTGACAAATATGATGAATTAAAGTGATTAAAGTGAATTAAAATGATTGTATTGCCTCCTGTCATATTTATTTACAGTTCTTTAGTCAAAACTAGTAGAGGAGCCATTGGCGATATATTCTTTCCTACCTGCTAATCCATGGTTTGGACAATTGGTCCATTTGGGTCACAGTTTGGTTCTGATTCTGGAGCAAGTCACTCACAACTTTGTGGTTAATTAGCAGAGTTGGAAAAGTTTTTTTTTTAATAAAAATTTTATTTGGGTTTTCACAAAACATAATACAAGTAAAAAATTTGTTTTGAGAATAGCATGGTCCCAGGTTATCACTTCTCCATACAGACACAAATTCAATTTCATATTTATCTTTGTGTTCTATTCCATATCTTATTACTATTTTAACATTTTCTCAAATAATTTTCCCTTCCCTTAATTTTCTCAATCTTGCTTTTAATTATCTTATTACTTTCTAAATTCTGAGGTTCTCGCGGGTATTTGTATGTGGATCTTTGGTTATTCGGGTTTTCTCCCGCATAAGATTGGAAGTATCTAGGCAACGTTTCGATGAAGTCTCATTCATCATCTTCAGGCTTCTGTCTTCAGCTCTGTGCTTCTCAGAGTGATGTGAGCTTGCAGCTGCTTCTTCCTTTTAACTGCTAGTGGGGGTGTGACTTGATTGGGTGGGGGCTTGGCTGTGTTCTGATTGGGTGGGGGTGTGTTCTCATTGGTTGGGGGTTTGGCTGTGTTCTGATTGGTTGGGGGGTTGGCCATGTTCTGATTGGCTGGAGGTGTGTTCTGTTCAGGTGGGGGCTTGGTTGTGCTCAGGTGGGTCTTAGTTACTGGGGGATTTGAGCTGGTGAGCTGTGATCTAGAAAACCCGAATAACCAAAGATCCACATACAAATACCCGCGAGAACCTCAGAAAACAAATATTGCACCTCTACAGAGAGGAAACCCACCATCTGACCAGGACTTATGAAAAACTTGAAGTCCAAAGAGCTTCCATTTTATGTGACCTCGCATTCCTATGCAACTGCCGAGATCAAAATTTAATTCCCACAAGCTTCCAATTGAAATTCCACACCAACATAGCAGCCACCAAAAGCATCCTAAAAAGAACAGAATTAGCCCTAATTAGAAATGAACTTCACACAAAAAGATTTCTCCTAGACCAAATCAACAAAGATCTCCTCACACTTCACCTCAGACTCAGCAATAAGATTCACCCCTTTGGGACAAATCCAAACAACTCGCTGTCTGGAGAGCCGAAACACAGACCACCCTCAAGACAGACACACACCAACAAACTCAGAAAACTACAACAACGCCAGAAACCAACTCCTCCCCCCTCACAGCCACACATGAAACAAACAGTGCACAACATCTCAGACAAGATCCTCACCGAAGCCGAAACCAAGGTCCTTTCAAAAGGATTCAACTTTGCTGTCGCTCCCAAACACATCCCCACAGAAACCATCATATGCGGAGTTGAAACCAGCCTGACCAAAACCTGATGATGCTAATAGAATCAGACTTGAAATCACCAACATCCTCTGCACTAGCAAACCACCCAAAAGCAACTTATCCAAAGAAGAACAAACTGCACTACGCAACCTGAAAGAAGACACCAGCATAATAATCCTACCAGCAGACAAGGGCAACGCGACAGTGGTTATGAACACATCTGACTACCAAACCAAGTTAACCAACCTACTCCTAGACCCCACATACAAACCCCTAAAGACAGACCCCACCACCTACCTAGAAAAAACCACCAGATCCAAAATAAAAGCCTCCCCCATCAGTGAAGAAATCCAGCAAAGAATCATACCCAGAGAGAAATCATCCAGATGCCCTAAGCTTTATGGTCTCCCCAAGATACACAAAGAAGGAACTCCACTTAGACCAATAGTCAGCTCCATAGGCTCACCTCTACAAAACCTAGCCAAATTTCTCACCAAACAACTACAGCCCTATGCAGAATCCATCAACTCACATGTAAGAAACTCATTCCAGTTCATCGAGATCATAAAGAAACAAAACTTACAACCCAGCGACCTACTAGTGAGCTTCGATGTCATATACCTCTTCACCCAAGTGCCAATAAAAGAAGCCTTGACAGCCATCCAAAACAAATACAACCCCCCCCAGCACATCCTAGATCTAACCAACCACTGTCTATCCAATACATACTTCACCTACAACGGACAAAAATACAAACAAATAGAAGGAGCACCCATGGGATCACCCCTCTCACCTGTCATCACAAACCTCTACATGGAACACTTTGAAACACAAGCTCTAGAAAAATATGATCACAAACCCAAACTCTGGCTCAGATACGTAGATGACACCTTCATAATCTGGCCACACGGGAAAGAAAAACTGAACAATTTCCTCACACACCTCAACAGCCTACACCCCAAAATACAATTCACCATGGAAACAGAAGCTAACAATCAACTTCCCTTCCTTGATGTCTTGGTATACAAAAAACCCAATGGCTCCCTAGGACACACCATCTACCAGAAGAAAACACATACAAACCGCTATCTACACGCACTCTCACACCACCACCCAGCACAGATCAATTCCGTAGCTGAGACACTCATCTCCAGAACAAAATGCTTAGCTGATGAACAACACCTAAAAACCGAACTAAACACTCTCACCAACG